TTTTTTTCATAATGTGCATTTCTGTGACCTTTCGGCCCCCTCATATGTGTGCGCATGCGCATGGAAGCGTGTGTAAGTACTTGCGCGGATTTTAAACACATCGATCGCCTTGGCGACTTCGCACAGAGGCCGCGAGGTGCAGTGTCTGAGAGCAGGGCCCGCCAAGCCTGGGCACTCTCCTGGCATCGTGCGAGGCTCGGCCTGGCTCTCGTGTGAGGGCCCGGCCCACCTGGTTGTGCTTCCGTTTATCCCGGGGTGTTCGATCCTCATTTAATCCCTCTGTTATCGGCCCTGGTTTATGGAGGATGACACTTAGACACCAGCCAAGATGTGTTAGAACCAGGATTTGAATCCAGGCCTCCCGAGCATGCCCACTACAAGGAGACCCCTCTCGGGGGCCAGCAGCATTTCCACCGTGCAGGGACACAGGAGAGGGGACCTGCACGCCCTGGCCTCCCCCCCTCCCCCCCAGGGTCACATGCCACCCTGCCTGGCCAGGGAACATACGGAGCTCCTGAAATCCGAGGGGCAGCTCTGTCTCCCGCAGGCTCTTCACTCTCCTGGGGAGGGCCCTGCTGGGGTTGATGGGAAGGAGCAGCCCCTTGTTGCAGAGAGGCCCCTAACCCATTGCCGTGAACAGCACAGCGGAGAGGTGGTGTTGTCTAGCGTTTGTTATGGGACTTGTGCGTACACCAGAGACAGCGACAGATGGGGAAAGTGAGAAATCGCCCCCAGGGGATGGCCAGGCCGCAACCCCTTCTCCTCCATTCTCTTCTCGGGATTTTAGACGTGACATGTGTACACCCAGCATGATGTTCACGCCACTGGGTCCAGGAATTGAATCCTGTAGGCGGCCACGTGGGATCTAATGCCTTAACCTCCATGCCACCTGCTGGCCCCAGCTGAGAGTTTTAACACCTGGCAAAGCACCTACGCTCTGGGCAGCCCTTGTTCATCTCTAAAGGAGATGTAACTCTCCTTATGGGGAGGGAGAGTCTTTAAAAATATTTTATAAAAATTATGCCTTAAGAAAAAACTATGCATGAATTAAAAATATTGGACCAAGATAAATTCATATTTTAGTTCCATTTTTTAAAAACAAGCTTTCTGAAGTGCCCACATTTTCTTGCCAACGTTTCCAGGTTGTGATGTCAACCATGAGGGCGCCTTGAGGCGAGAGGAGCCTGACTGCAGGAGCCAGCCACCGGCGCTCCCTCGGCCTCTGTGTGGGCGAGGACCCAGGTTCTAGTCACGCAAACCTGCAGAGTGCGGAAGCAGGCGTGCCAGGCCCTGCCCTCAGACAACTTCCAGCAGAGCAGACAAGAGCTGGAAGTGACCTGTGAACAGCCACCATGTCCCAACGGGGTCTCTGCAGCCGCTCAGCCCGGCTCTGTGGGTGGCTTGCTCCTCTGCAGGCCATCGGGCACCGGGACCTCACTCAGTCCTCCTGCCCCGGTTCTCGCCCTCCGGGATGCACTTTCCTCCACAGCCATTGCAGCCCCCGCCTGGCTTTCTCCCAGGAGCTGTGTGACCTCAGGCCCGTCACTCGCCCGCTCTGAGCCCCCATGGCGCCGGCTGGCTATTCTACAGTGGAGATCGTGGGGTTCAGTGTGCTCCCGAGCGTTGATATGCTGCCGGCTTCAGGGGCGAGCCGCTGTGTGTACAGGG